TGTGAGCTCACTGGCAGCAGCAGCAAGGAGACTCCACACGGCTTCTGAGGGTGCTGATTAGATGAGGGTTTATTGGGGGTCCCACCCCCGGGAACAGCATGGTTTCTGAGGGAAAAAGGGGAAAGGGGGATTGGGGGGAGAAGAGGGAGAGCCTAGGGGAGAGCAGGGCCAAGAGAGGATCTCCTCTCCCTCGCACACCTTAAGAGGGAGATTCAAAGTGGGTGCAGAATAAGACTTGGGCCAATGGGATTACAGATACATGATCCTTCAGGGGAGGATCACAGCCTTGGAATAAATCGTACATTTTTGAGGGGTGAGACAGAGCATAGCATTTAACTAAAATGCAGCACCACATATTACCCTTTTTTTTGTTAGAGAAAAAAGAGAAATATGACATAAAAGAGAAATATGACATTTCTCTTTCTCATAAACAGAAATATGACAATTAACAATTTAAAAAATGAAGCAGTAATTATATAGTTTTGTAGCATGAAAATAAATACCACTGCAGTGAGGATTATGTTTTAAACAGTCCATTTGACTTGATGGTGGTAGGCAGTTGATTTTGGTGGTAGGCAGCAAAGATAAAATGAGCATTTAATTGTAATAAATGGGTTATGTGGGTCCATATTGCAGATTTAAATGAATTTAAAGCATGGGCAAGTGCTTAAAGACTTCAGCCTTTGGCACTAAGCTCATATAAGAGTTTTGGGATTGGCCTTTTCAACGTGACTGGCCCAATGGTGTCTAACCTTTCCCAACTGGCTTTTTGGACCACCACAGCCCCCAGTTTAGGCTGAGGTGACGACTTTGCTCCCTGAGAGAGGGACAGGGAATCACCTGGAGCCCCCGGGAGTCCAGGCAGGTTTGCGGCCTCGGATTCTCACTCTTGGATCTGAGCTTTACCGCTGCTTTCACCTTTCAACCAGTTTAACCCAGATGATCCCCGGTTTTAGGTTGTTAAAAGAAAAACAAAAAGACAAAAAAGAAATTTGGCTTCAGCTAATACCTATACTCAGGGAGCATTCGCCACAAAAACTGTCAAAATACTTTCCCAGACACCATTTTAGGTTATCAGTCACCCTCAGAACCTACTGAGGACAGCATAAACCCAACAGCTATTATGATTCAGCAGTCTAATACTGTCTGAACTGTTGCTATTAAAGAAACAATCAAAACTGCTTCTCGTCGGATCTACCCTTGTGACCTGACAGGCCCCTGCTTTCTAAAACTGAAAACAGGACAATCTGCAATATGAACACACATTTAAACTAGAAAAGCATAATTATAAAAACTACTTCATGGGGATGGGTGGGAAATGGAGAGAGGACTGGTATTGGATAAGAATGATAAAAAGGTTAGAGGGTTTTAGGATAAAAGTTCTAGCTGATGAGCTCTTTTCAGCTAGAACAAGTGGATAGGGATTGGGAATTGGAGAGGTTACAGGGAGCCAGGGACTCTGCGAAAGAAAAACCTTTTTGGGGTACCCTGCGCCTTCAAGTGGTCTGCTCCCGGTTAACTACCCAAAATAAGGAAAACAGGGGTATGGATTGCAGAGAAGGATGTCATCCTGCTCTTGGGGTAACAGGGGAAGGAGATAATGAAGTAGAATTTTCAATTCAATGAAATGCTGAGGCTTAGCTGTGTGGCTGATGTGCCTGGTTTAGCAGGACGGAGTGGAGTGCCGGGCGATTGTTAAGGGGACGGCGGGTTAGGGAGAAGGAGTGGCAAGGGGAGAGAGAGTAGGACTGAGGAAGGAGGTGACAGAACTGACGAAAGCAGTTTTGGGGGATGCGGGGCTCAGGTAAAGCTGAAAACTGTTTCTTGCTGGTCTGGTGGATCCCCCATGGAAACTGGTGGGCTTTGGTTCCTTCTTTCGCCGCTGCTGTGGTCCAGGGCATCGGCTGCTGGGGCTCGGCGATCCGCACGGCCCGCCCGCTCTGCAGGGCCCCCCGCCGCCTTCCCGGGGGGGCGGCGGGCTCGGCCCCGCCGCGGCTCCCGGCTCCGTGCTCCCGGCTCCGTGCTCCCGGCTCCCGGCTCCCGGCTCCGGGCTCCCGGCTCCCGGCTCCCGGCTCCCGGCTCCGTGCTCCCGGCTCCGGGCTCCGGGCTCCCGGCTCCGGGCTCCGGGCTCCGGGCTCCCGGCTCCCGGCTCCGGGCTCCCGGCTCCGGGCTCCGGGCTCCGTGCTCCGTGCTCCCGGCTCCGGGCTCCGGGCTCCGGGCTCCGGGCTCCCGGTTCCGGGCTCCGGGCTCCGGGCTCCGGGCTCCGGGCTCCCGGCTCCCGGCTCCCGGCTCCGTGCTCCCGGCTCCGGGCTCCGGGCTCCGAGCAGGCGCGTGGCGGCCACGTGGCGAAGGTGCTTCGAGCGGTGGGCTCGCTGCTGGCCTGACATGTGAAAGCCTTGGGAACTGCACTTAGACCCAGTAATGGACATGATATGTAGTGTGAATGCAGCTTTTGCCTGCCAGGGGACTGGAGCCATGGGAGCAGCATGGGGCTATTTGCCCACAAGGACGTGTGTCCTTGAGGGTGGACAGTGTTCCTGTCCAAGGGCAGTGGGGGTCACCAGCCTGCCAGTGAGATGTAAAGGAAGAGTCCTTGTCTGACCTGGCAATTCCTTGCCTTCAGCCTGGCAGTCTCAGTGGCATCACCTGATCTGGGGCTGAGGTCCCTTCTCAGCAGTGACCCCACTAGACTCCCCACACCCCTCACACTCCCCAGTGAGACCAAGTTTCCTTATCAGCTCGACCCCAGGTTCCCCACAGCAGAGTCACAAATGTCTGGATTCTCAAGATAATTGAATCTTGATATAACAACAGAATAACAGCTTGAATTGGTGCCTCTGAGCAGGGATCCAAAAAAGGAAGCCCTGGCTTTTATACTCCCACAGTCCAAGCACAGGAAAGTCTGGAGTCACTGGCTCCAGCCGTGTCTCTGGGTGTCCTTCACCTGGCTGTGCACAGGTCCCTGTTGCCCCTGCTGGGACAAGGCCTTGGTCCCAGCTCTGGTGGTGCCACTGGGACTGCCAAGGTGGCTCCTGGATAGACGGGGAAGTTTCCTTAAGAGTCACTAATGGCAAAGATACTTGTCACAAACACCAAAATAGGAGCAAAGCCACCCAGAAGGTACCTGGACTTCTGCCTATGCACATTTTGCAAGGAAATCTGGATAGATAAGCGGAGCACCTGGTAGGATGATCAGAGTCCCTCAAGTGTTGGGGGCCCCCTGCTTTGGATTCAAACTTCTCTTTAGGGGAGAAATATTGGCTTTGCATTTTCAGTTTCTGAAAACCTGGCCTTCACACATCCTTTTTTTTTTTCCCCCCCGACAGATTTAAAACAACATATTTTTTGGTAGCAGTTTCCTTTATCATATAGGCTTTTCTTTTATTTATTTTGGTTTAATAAGAGCTGTGAAAATATTTGAACAGCAGGAAGGTTTGGCTCCCTAATCCTGGGAGGTTTAAAAGGCTGATTGATGGCAAGAAAATTCACTATTGTGTTTTGTTATCAGTGTTATCAATGTTCAAAGGATTAATTTATTTCTACAGCCTTGGTCCACTGAAGTTCTGTCCTTTTCCCTCCTGCATATCATGGAATCATGGAATGATTTCTGTTGGAAGCAACCCTAAAGTTCCTCCCATTCTACCCCCTGCCATGGCAGGGACATCTTCTGCTATCTCAGGCTGCTCCAAGCCCATCCAGCCTGGCCTTGGGCACTGCCAGGGATCCAGGGGCAGCCCCAGCTGCTCTGGGCACCCTGTGCCAGGGCCTCACCACCCTCACAGGGAAGAATTTCCTCCTAACCCTCTGTCATAATTCATACTGAAATTAATTATATCACTTCGCCCAAAACTTTGTTCCTTTCTAGGTATTGACACAGCTATAACATTGGGGTTGTACATATTTCTGTCCATGTGATTTTGCTGGAGACAGCTTGACCCTGCTCTGTACTACTACCTCATTCCTTGTCCAGTCTGTGTCATCCCAAATAATCAGCAATTATTTTATAGGAATTTCCAAATCCCTGATGGGACACAGCTTTGTTTTGACTGGACACAAATAGTGGCAGACCCACCATTCACACATGCTGTATATGGACCTCAGGACACTCCACAAATGCATTGGCAAAATGATCCATTTCTGGCTTCCCAAACCTTCACAGATGTCAACCAACCAGGAAAGAGAAGCCAAATTCCACCATGATCTGTAACCATCATAGAGTTAAGCTGACCTCTTTCACTTGCAGGAAAGAAATATGTGTCTTCATTCCTTTTTAAACCGATTTTTCAAGAAGGAAGTCAGAAGGAATGGAGAAGTGTACACTTTCTAGATCATTCCAGGAAAGCAAACCAGCAGATATTTCCTCTTGGCTCAGTCTGGTCCCAGTTTTTTGGCCACACCCATTTTAGACCGGGCGAATTTCTGCCCTGGTGCAGGTGTATAAAGAACTGACTTCTCTCCCAGCCCTGCCAGTGCTGCAGAGATGGCAGGTAAGATCCATGAATTTTCATTCTCTATCTGCATTTGATATTTCTGGTGTGGATATTGGTGCATTCCACAGGTGAACCCAAGGAAATGGGAGGCAGAGCAGAGTGCTGGGACCTGGTGGTGCTTCCTTCCTCCTTCTCCCCTGATGTGTATTTAATTTATTGTGAGAAGTGAGCAAAGACTGCCTGATTTATTTCTCATGCAGAAAATTCTTGCAATATATGATTGCTAGGAATAAACAGCTTTCAATCCCCAGGAGCGTGGTCCAAGAATTTTCATGGATTGCAAATGTAAGGTAACCTCTCCCACTGTGAGAAATCTGTTAGTTCTTCCAAATTTTGTCTCTGTCCTTCTCTAAACAATTTAAAAGTTGACTAAATTACTTAAAATAAATCTAGTTACAACCTTTGGGCTAAAAATCTCCATTCAGGGAAGGGAAGGTGTCGTGCCACAGTGGGAGATATGGGTGGAACAGATCATACACATTTCTGCTGTTAATGTGAAACAGGAATAAAGCCAAATTTCATGGAGCAGCAGGAGGACTGGCAGGGGTGGTTGGAAGTGATGATAGACCGGGCAGCTTGTTTTGTTCAGCATCAAGACGGAGGGGGCAGAGAGGGATGTGTGGGGTCAGGCTCCTTTCCACCAGCTGCTTGCGGACATTGCCAAAGGCAGGACCCCAGGACACCTCCCTCTTCCAACTCACCTTCCCAACATCCTCCACCATTGAGGCTGGACTGTACCTGACTGCCTATTCCTTGGCAGCTACTCAGCCCAGTTTGCTGAGGGTTCCACATCTCAGAGGTGTCCCTGTGTCCTGCCAACACCTAGAGCCACGACCCCATCTTGAATCCCACTGACAGACCTGGACAGAGGGCAGCTCGATTTTATTCCTGCATCCTGGAAGAGATATTGAAACCAAACAAGTCAATCTGTTCTGACCCCTCAGTGAAGCCCTGCTCATTGAGGATTTATGTTGCATTTCTCCCTAGGCAAAAATCCAAGGATGACTCTCCTGGGATCCCTCATCACTCTCTGCGCAGTTGGAGCAATGGGCTCCTCAGGGAATAGTAGGTTCCTGTTCATCCTTTGGCTGCTGCTGTACTGGAAAGGGTGTGAATCAAAAGTCAGACAGAGTTCCTAATTAGACACATCTCCAATAAAAAATTGAAATATCCTGTAGATTGATCCACTAAAAATGAAGTTGATACCTGAGAGATTTGCCTAAGGAAACTCCCTATTTAACCAACAGCCCATCTGAGCAAATCATCCTTTTATGACAGGAAACTTGGGGCAGAGACTATCTTTGACTTCTTCTGTGCACTTTCCCTGGGGAAAGGTCCCAGGAGCAGCTGAGGGGGCTGAGAAAGCTCCTTTTCTCAGCCTGGAGAAAAGGCTCTGTGGCTCTGCACAACTCCTGACAGGAGGGGACAGCCGGGGGGTCAGGCTGTGCTCCCAGGGAACAGGAACAAGAGGAGAGGAAATGGTATCAAATTGTGCCAGAGGTTTAGATTGGATATTGGGGAAATTTTTTCATGGAAAGGATTGGGAAGCATTGAAACAGGCTTCCCACAGCAGTGATGGAGTCACCATCCTTGAAAATATAAAAAAAATAAAGTGTATGTGGCAGCTTGGGGACATGGTTTAGTTGAGAACAAAGCTTTTAGTGTATAATTGAGTATCCTAAATTTCTGCTTTTTCTTCTTTTATTTTGTTGAGCAGAGGTCTCAGAGGTGCTGTCAGATTCATCTCTCCTAAGCATCATTACTGAGGCCAGGCAGTTGGTAGACACTGCATATTTACAGGCCCGAAAAAGGTGAGTTCTTCCTGCATGACAGCCCCAATATTTTAAGATAATAAGATTAAATATATGTGTGTTTTTTTCTGTTTTTCAATGCATATTGATTATGGAGAAGACTTAGCACCAGGGCTCTTTTTGTCATGGCTGGAGGGATCATTTTGCCCAGTTTGGCTGGATTCTGGTCCCAGAACCACCAACCATGACCTCCAAGTATTGTTTCCTCACCTACACTGCTGTGAGCACCTCTCACTGATCCATAATGGTCCACACATGCTGGACACGTGTGAGTCCTCTCCTGGCAGCAGGAGTTCTGCCCCTCTCCAGAAGGACTGGAGTTGTGCAGATGGACATCCTGTCCCAGATCGGTGTCAGTGGAAGTCAAACCCCAGGTATTCTCTGTGATTGTCGCAAAAGGCTGGTTCCAGGCAGTGGGATGACTTGGGAAGGAGTCTTTCTCCACTCATCCTACAGAAGTAGCAAGACAGAGCCTTGAGACCAGAAAGAGATGGAACAGGAGTGAGGTTTTCCCTCTGTTCACAGAATACACCTTGTAACATAATACATGTAAAATTTTATCCAGTCACAGTTCATTGATCTGGATTTCCACATGATAGAACAAAGTTTATTGTGACAAGGAAGTGTGACTGAAAACTTGAAGCAGGGGATTACAGTGCTTTATTTGCCAAAACCATTCTGAGCTGACATGCTAATGTGCAGATAGCTGGTCCTACTGGGCAGGGCCTGAGTGTGACCCTGCAGTGGTGTCACAGCTAATTACACCCAGTCCAGCATGACAGAGGAGCTCTGATTTCAGAGAAGGTGCTTCATGGAACTCTTCTTTCAGCTTAAAGAGAAAATTGGAGGAAAAGATTGTTAACCCGATGGATTTCCTGAAGCACCTAAAGGACCCCATAGGAAGAACCAGATCTGCAGTCCGTGCTGCTGATTACTTGGAAACTACTTTGAAACTCCTCAAAAGGAAGCTGCATCTCTCTGGGGAACAGAGTTTCAATGTCACAGGTAATGTGATTTAGACCAAAATGTCTTACAAAGAGCAAAGAGCAGGAAATGTGCCACAGCAGGTGGCAGAGATCAGCTCTGCCATGACCCAAATAACCAGGGATAAAACCCTTCCGCCAACAGGGGAATAGATTGGAAGGTTTCTCAGAGACAGACCTGAAGACTCCCAGGTGTTTTATTCATCTTTGAGAGTGCATCTCTCCCATTATTGTAAAAACAGCTAAACAATACCTGTGACAAACCTGGGGCAAAGCCCACTGGAGTCTGTGATCATTGAAAACCCTCCATCTTCCACTTCTGCTCTGCACACCTGGGTTGTACCAGTCTGCAACCTCATCATTTTGTTCCCAGGTGGGGAAAACCTTCCTGGTGATGATGCTCTCCACATTCCTCTGGAAAATTGCTTTATGCCCACCCAGTTTCCTTAGTCCAGAGGGGAAGGCTGATCCACAAAAGGGTTTAGGCACCAAATTAACAATTCCAATCCAGATGTTTTATATCCACAGCTCCAATTCAGTTGGCTGAAATGTTGACCTAGAACACCGAGAAGCTAAAACAACAAAAGAAGAGTAGGATCGGATGTTACTTTACAGGGTTTCTCTTGCAGACCTGCTAAGCAGGAGACAGAAGGAGATGATTTCCAAGGGCACTGGCTGTGACTATCAGACTCGTTCCATTAAATGCCCAGAGAGGGACTTTTACCGGACCATTACTGGGGAGTGCAACAACAGGTAGGATGTGTGTGTGGACAAGGCGAGTCTCTTTATTCTGACCCAGGGTAGATGATTGTGAAAGTGCCTTTCAAAAGGGCAAGAAGAGTGAAATACTCAATTTAATGAGCCCATAACAGAGGATTGATTTCTACCTGTGCCTGTCAGGAAAAAGATGTAACTTCTTAAAAATCTCAGATTTGCGCCCACTGGCCTTTATGTGCTGCTTTGGATGAAGGAAAGGATCTTGGGGTGGGGGTAGGTAAGAAGTTGAGGAAATTTTGAGGCTGTGACTCAGCCTCTCATTTTGCTGGAGGCTACAGGAAATCATGCCTCCACTCTTCCACAGGGAAAATACTAATTTCCCCGGGTGATTCAGATGATAATATTCAGCTGTTGATATATCTCTGTTATGAGTAAGGGTGGGAATTAAATAAGACTTTAATTCTTGGTTCTTCCAACTTTGTGTATTGTACATCCTTTATCTGAGAAAATTTGTTCTTCAAGTTTTTTTGCACATAGTTTCCCTCCAAGTTCAAGGCTCACACCAAACATTTATTTCCTTTTGTGCTTTTAATTTTATTTTTTTTTACCAGAAAATAACCAAATTCCTATGCTGACAGTGACAGTCAAGGCTCCTTGTCCTGCTGTGTCAGTGCCAGACCTGAAATCTGAATGGGACTTGCATCCAATGTGCACCTGGCATGAAACAGATGTGCCAGCTGTGATGACATAGCACAGCTCTGCAGCAGTGTGCAGGGAGCTCACACTCACTGGGGTTTTCCAGTCTGTTCCCCTGGACTCCAGGGCCTCCAGCCCCACAAGGACAGCACTGTCTGTCTGCCCAGGAAGGGTGTGGAGTCTCTTTCACTGGGGATATTCCAGAACTATCTGAACACAGTCCTATGCCATGAGGGCTGAGATGACCCTACCTGAGCAGGGACATGGGACCAGGTGGCTCCAGTGTGGTCTGTTCCAGCCTGACCTGTTGTGGGATTTTGTGTCCATGCTGATTTGAGGCTCAGGGTAGGGTTGTCCTTGACCTTGTTGGGCTGTCAGAGAGATGGAGGGAGGCTTGAGAGATCCCTGTGGTGTTAATATTTTCCCAAGGATCTTACTCAGCTTGAGGTGCACACCACGAGAATAGTTTGCCTGCAAGGACAGTAATGACAATCAGAACAAGACCCTGGTGGTTCTGAGTCCTTAATATTTGATGGAATTGCTTCGGCTCTGGCACAGTGATTTTCCTAGGACATGCTCTTATTTCACAGCACACTGCTGTGAGCACTGGGTACTTCTCTCCTTTTCCAGTGCAGAATCACAGAATCATTTAAGTTGGAAAAGACCTCCAAGACCATCAAGTCTAACCTTTGACTCATCCCCACTTTATCAACCAGACCAGAACCCTGAGTGCCACATCACTCAGACATTGCCTGAGTTTTGTGGCCACAGGGCCACAGATCATTGGCTCAATCAGAATTATTTTCCCTCTGAACCAAAATGCTGACTTCAGCAATTAAAACATTTTGGAGCGGTGCAAGGCCACACCACAGGCTGAGAGGGTCTGTGTAAAAACTTCCCCAAGGGGCAGCCTCGGCACAGATCCCCACACAGATGGAGAATCTTCATCCTTGGAAGCTACCAGCCCCCAGCTGGACAAGACATGGCCACCCTCAACATGCTAATTGCCCTGCCGTGAGTTGGATTTTGAGACGGAAGTAAAGACAGAGGTGATAGAGAGATTTAAATGTGAAATAAAATTAATGTAGGTTTAATTGACAGGTAAAATTAATAGAGTGACACAAGATACCTTTTTTAAAAATGTTAATTTTTCTCCATAGTTATAACCTTGGTATAATTCGCTTCTTGTGTTTTTCCAGTCTCATCCCTGTTACCAGAGTGTTCAGACATGGAATAAAGGGCTGTGAAATGTTGGTCTGTACAAGGCTGCTGATGTTTGAAAAAATAACAGAGGTTGTTTTTCTGGTGATGCTGCAGAAATCACTCCCACCTGGGGTCGTCTAACCATGCCTTCACACGCTGGCTCCCAGCTGTATATGAAGATGGAATGTCTGTTCCCAGAGGAGCAAGTGAAGGAAAGCGCTACAATGGATTCCCACTCCCACTGGTGAGAGTTGTTATCCTAATCCAGCCATGAGTAAGGACACTGCCCTCAATGCACCCATCAGGAAGGAAGCAGTGGCAACATCTAAAGTGTAAATTGCTTGATCTTTGATCTCAGGCTACTTTTCCACAACTGAGTTATTTCTCAGGTTAATATTTTTTGTTGGAGAAAGACAGGAGAAAAATGTTGTAGAGGCTTTCCTAAGCAGTTTTCAAAGTGTACATCCCAAGGATTGCTGCAGTCAGTGCTCAAGGACACCAGGAGCTTTGTACAAGCCACAAGGCTTGTGAGTTCCTCAGCCATGTTCTTGACTTTCTGGTGTTCACAAACAAGTTTCAGCTGGAACAGGCTTTCCATGAAGCCAGGTTTGGCTGAAGGACTGTGTAGTCTACTTCTACACCTGATTGGATGGAGCTGAGAAATGACATGGAGCTGTGTAATGCCATAACTCTTAGTAATTTGTCTAAGATAACCTTGTGCATGATCTACAGCTACCTGAAAGGAGTAGGTAGGGGTTGGCCTCTTTTCCGAGGGAACAAATGACAGGACAAGAGGAAATAGCTTCAAATTGTATTAGAGGAGGTTTAGGATATTAGGAAAAATATCTTCAATGACATAGTGGTTAAGAATTGGAGCAGGATTTCCAGAGCAACAGAGAAGTCAATCCCTGAAAGTGTTCAAAAATAGGTAGATGTGGCAATTCTCAATATGGTTTATAGGGAATGAGGATACTCGGTTGAAGGTTGATGATCTCGGAGGTCTTTTCTAACTTTCATGATTCTGTGATTCCAAGATGTCGCAGTGGGAGTTCAAGTGAGAGGCAACCGCTCCACCGTGGCAGAGACAGTCGCATTTTCATTTTGGTTTTCTGCAGGTTCGAAAAGTATCCAATGAAATTGCTCACACAGCCAACAAGAATGTCACTGCAGATCAGCAGCTCTCGCTGGTCTTCATGCACTGGGGCCAGTGGGTGAACCACGACATAGACTTGGCCCCTGCCAGTGGGGAAGGAGCCAGCCTGGAGCTCCAGTGCCACACCAGCTGTGCCTTCAAGCCCCCCTGCTTCCCTATTAAGGTACCCTGACTCTCGCCCACGCCACACTCTCTTACAGCAGCAAAATAAAACCACGGGGCTTTCTGAGGCATCACTTGGCTCATTTGCTTTAGTTCCCCCCTGACGACCCGCGGGTGCGGAACTCCGACACCTGCATGCCGTTCGTGCAGTCAGCCTCGGCGTGCAGCCCCGGGACCTTCCGGCGGGAGCAGCTCAACGCCGCCACGTCCTTCATCGACGCCAGCACCGTGTACGGCAGCGACCGCGCCCTGGCCAGGAGCCTGAGAAACCTCACCAGCCAGCTGGGCTTGATGGCCGTGAACCAGGACTTCTTGGACGCGGGGCTGGAATTGCTGCCCTTCGAGAACACGACACACAGTGTTTGTGTTCTCACCAACAGGAGTGCCAACATCCCCTGTTTTAAAGCAGGTAAGGTGCAGCTGGGGGGTTTTCAGTGGGTTGTAAAGTCAAAAAGGGACAAATATCTCTGTATAGGATCCTTGTAGGTCTCTTCCACAGAGGATATTCAGTGATTTCGTGATATTTGAATGAGGCACTTCAAGACCTGACTACGTAAGGTGAAAGACAGGGAATCCTCCCTCCAGTTAGAAAATAAAAATAATCAAGCAATAATCGATTAATAAACATAAAAATTATTTTAACTTCCAAAAAAATTACAGCAAATTGTTCTTCCTTTATAAAGTCTTTTTGAAAACATGAGAAATTTTCAATAGAATAGCCACCAATGCTTAAAACTTCTCTGGAGCTTATTTTCTTCTATCTAGAATTCACCATTCATTACTTGAATGCCAGTTGTCAGATTGAGAAAGTTGAGGCTGTTCAGCCTGGAGAAGAATGGGTTGTGTGGAGACCTCACAGCACCTGCCAGGATCTGGAGGGACTACAGGGAGCCTGGAGAGCGACTGCATTAGTAACTGTCGTGGGAGAACAAGGGGGAATGGCTTCACATTGAAAGAGAGTAGATTAAACTAGATACACAGAAGAAATTCTTCCCTGTGAGAGTGGTGAAGCCTTGGCAAAGGTTGCCCAGAGAAGCTGTGGCTGCCCCATCCCTGGAAGTGTCCAGGGTGAAGCTGAATGGGGCTTGGAGCAACCTGGGATAGTAGAAGGTTGAAATGGGATGGGCTTTAAAGTCCCTTACATTCTGTGATTCTATGATTCAGTTTTCAACCCAATCAAGACTAACAGTTAAGTGCTCTTAAGAAATCTAGTTAATTGATTAATTAACTAACCCACCCTACCTCAGAAGAAAAGTCTAGACATTTGTATGAAATTTAAACAAACTGAAGACAAACACAGAACTTATTCAATTTTGAAGTGATCCATCACAGGCATAACATTAAAAAAAACCATTATGAATGCGAAACTTGCAAAATCAATCATAAGGGTACAGAGTGCTCTCATTTCCTCATTCTCTGCCTGTGAGAAGGGCTCCTTACTGAGTGAGGAGATGCTTAGTGCTTCTTCCATCGTCTCACAGAGAGTTTTCAGTGGGTGCCCTCCAGTTTTCATAGAATCACAGAAGGGTTTGGCTTGAAGAGAATTTAAAAATCATCCTGTTCCACACCCTGTCATGGGCAGAGACACCTTCCACTAGACCAGGTTGCTCCAAGCCCCATCCAGCCGGGCCTTGTGCACTTCCAGGGATGGGGTAGCCACAGCATTATTGCCAGGAGCATCTCCACTTGTTACTTGTCTGTCCTAACACAAAAACCTGCCTCTGAAATTGAAAGCAATGTACTAAATTCATAAAATATTTTCATTTTAGGTGACAAACGGGTGACAGAAAACCTGGGACTCTCTGCAATGCACACTCTCTTTGTCCGAGAGCACAATCGCCTGGCTACTGAGCTGAGGAAATTAAATCCCCACTGGGATGGGGAAAAGCTTTACCAGGAGAGTCGAAAGATTGTGATTGCCATAAACCAGGTACTGATTACTGTTCACTGTTTATCGCTATATTATCATTATATTACACTTAGAAATGTTTTTTCCTTCAGGCAAAAGGAGGAAAATGTTTTGCCAAATCAGTGGAGTTATTTGTGGGAGTAGGAAATTATGAATGAGGATAGAGACAGCATGGATATCCAGATCTTTTTTATGCATCATGCTACTAATTCATCAATTATTTATTATATTCATATATAAATTAATTATTAGATAAAATAATTTAACCTTTTAAAATAATTTAAATCTATTATGCCAAACTTATTCCATTGCTACAGCTCTTTTTTTCTGAAGATTTTAATGAATTCTGCTGCACAGAGTCCACGTTCATTCTCTGCACTTGACTTCTGATGCCATTTCTGTTGCAGCTGCTGGTAAATTCCTGTGCTCTTGTGCTTTTTCAGATCATAACATACAGAGATTACCTCCCACTCCTGCTGGCTGAGGAGACCAGCAAGTGGATCCCTTTGTACAGTGGTTACAATGAAAAGGTGGATCCAAGGGCCTCAAATGTTTTCTCCCTGGCTTTCCGATTCGGCCACACATCAGTGCAGCCTTTTGTGTCCCGTTTGAATGAGAGCTTTCAGCCTTTGTGTTCCTCCTCTCATGTCCCTCTGCATCTGACCTTTTGTGCTCCATGGAGAATTATAATGGAAGGTAAGAATATGGAGCAGAGATCCTGGTCTGGTCCTGGGGTGGAGATCAGCTGGTCAGGCACATGGAATTACAGAATCCCAGAATCATTTAGGCTGGAAAAGATTCACAGGACCATCAAGTCCAACCTGTGACCCCCACCTTATCACACAGGCCAGAGCACTGAGCAGCATGTTCAGTCATTCCTTGGACACCTCCCAGCTCAGCAAGACTTGACAGTGGGGTGTTCCACATCCACTCAGCTGGTGCAGTTGCTCCTGCTGCTCCAGGAGGCAGGAGACTCCCTGTGCCTAATGTCAATCCACCAAAGTCTATGTCAAACAAAGCTCTTGTATCCCCCTATACTCAGGGGACATGGACACACGGTGATGCATCCAGTTTAACTGAGCTAAAGCAGCATCATTCCTTCCTAGAGGTGCCCATCCCTCTTCCTAACTCTAACTGGAGTTATGGGGTCCTGCTATTACACAGCTGAGATCTCAGATAGGTCTTTCTGAGGAAGACAAATATCTCTTCCAAAATGGATTAACTACTTATGAGAAATATAATTACAGTTGTGCAGCCAATTTTCCTGTGTTTTGCTCATACTGTCTCCTTAATTGCTGTGAAAAAGATGTGGACAGTCAGACATGAATTAATGCTATCACCACATTAATGTTTTAATAACTGTCTGTCAATTAATAGTGAATTATAAGCAAAATCCATTGCAAAACCTAAAACCTTGGACAGATCCCCAAGCACCAGGACATAATGGAGCCTGGCAGGCTGAGGAGCAGACTTGGAAAGGGACTGGTGGACAGCAAGTGGATTTAGGGGTTCCACAGCAAGTGGAAGGAAAAGCTAAGGGATGGGGAGGGATAAGGAACTTAGTTACTATGTGAGGCTTTATTTACTGGCACCTGCAGACATGTACAGTTTCATACAGGCACCACTGTGAGGGTGGGCAGGCCCCAGCACAGGGTGCCCAGAGCAGCTGTGGCTGTCCCAGCCCTGGAAGTGTCCAGGGCCAGACTGGACGGGGCTTGGAGCAACCTCAGACAGTGGAAGATGTCCCTGCCCATGGCAAGGGGTGGTATGAGAGGGGCTTTAAGGTCCTTTCCAACCCAAAACGCTCTGTGATTCTATGATTCCATACACACATGGTGAAATGAAAACATGAAGATGAAAACCCCACCCAGCCCACAGTAGACTGCTTCAGCTGCATGAAAGGGACCATCAAAGCTGCACCTTGGCACAAAAAATCTTCCCTTGATTTTCAATGGCTGCAGGAGGCATCGACCCCCTGATCCGGGGCATGATTGTGGATCATGCAAAACTCATGAAACAGAACCAGCTGCTCATTGAGGAGCTCCAGAACCACCTCTTTGAACAGACAGAGGTGATGGGTCTGGATCTAGGAGCCATGAACATGCAACGAGGAAGAGACCATGGCCTTCCAGGTAAGGAGACACAAGTCCACACCTCCTGTGAATAAGGTATTTTTTTCTTTCTGCTGCTTAGTCCATGTGCTTTTTCTATACTAATGGGAAGAACCAGTACCGTGGTTTGAGGGTGAAGGATGGACAGACAGTCAAGCTCAGGGAATAAGAGGTTTCTGTATGGTAAAAATCTTTTTGTGAGACATGTATGACAAGAACAAAAGGCTTAGAAATTAAAGATGATATTTGGGATAATGTAAGAAAGTGGGTGAGAGACAGTGGTGTATTGTAAAGAGAGAGGATGTGTGGTACAGAAGGTAGAGACACAAGTGACCAAATTAAGCTTTCACATGGGCTTGGCCACATCCCCTGGGCTTTGTTATTTGCCCATCAATCTTGTCTTGTGTCCCAGACAAGCCAGAGTAGATAGCAGAAGTGACTTGCACCCACAGGTGGGACTGCCCTAGGTGCTAGAAAAAAATGGGTGCTCTTGGATTAAACACAAACAAATTTTCTTTTTTCTAAGAATTTGATCCTAGAAATTTTGCCTCCCAAAGCTGCAAGGACTGATGCATTCACCCACAGCAGTAGAAAAGCAGTAGAAAGATTTAACCAACACGATAAGGTGTAGTCACAAAGACAACCCAAACTGTTTGTTTAGTGTACATATGAGAAGGACCTTGGAAAAAGTGACATTTGTTGGGACTGCCCAGACAATAGTGCCTTCCAGATCCTTTAATACCATGAGAAGAAGCAGGCAGTTCTCATGGGCCAAGAAAGACGCTGTGGAGATGGGGTAGTGGGTCCTGGTCATCTGCTGCTCCTGCTTTTGCAGGTTACAATGCCTGGAGGGGCTTCTGTGGGCTCTCCCAACCCCAGACTGTAGAAGAATTATCTGATGTGCTGGGCAATCCCAAACTGGCCAAGAAGTTCATGAATGTGTATGGGACACCGTACAATATTGACCTCTGGATTGGGGCAGTTGCAGAGCCTGTGGTTCCCCAGGGCAGAGTTGGGCCCCTCCTGTCCTGCATTATTGGCACCCAGTTCAGGAACCTGCGTGATGGGGACAGGTGAGAGATACATTCCCTGTGGCATTTTTCAGGGGGGAAATGCTGACATTTCCTGTGACACACTAAGCCAACCCATTTACAGCACTCCAGTGAGTGCTCCCAGCAAGGCTCATCCCTTCATTTTAGCCCATGGCCAAAGGACTGTTTTTTTCAGCCTGTTCCTCTAGATTAATGTGGTTGAGGAGTACCACCTCCAGATCATGGGAGATCTGCTGTGGCGTCTGCCTGAGGTGACTTTTGCTCTCAGGGCATAAATCCCTGCATCCCAGCAGTCTGCTGATGCTGTGTGGAAGAGACAGGCCCTCAGCACTGTCAGAATGCAGATCTGGCCACACCGGAGACACTTTCTAAAGAGGTGTTCCTAGGGAAGGTGGATTAAGCACCATTCAGACTCACCTTAGTCAGGTTCCCATCTCAGCAAGTAACTAGAGATTATAAACTGCTTCTGAAAATTTCATTGCAGATTCTGGTGGGAAAACCCGGGAGTTTTCACTCCACAACAGTTGCAAGCATTGAGAAAAATCTCAGTGTCAAGGGTGATCTGTGACAATACTCATATCAAAAAGATACCCAGGGATGTGTTCAAGATCAACACTTATCCTGAGGACTTCACTGATTGCCAAGACATTGACTTGCTTGACCTCTCATCCTGGAAAGATGAGCCTGAGAGTGCCACAAAAGGTACCAGTGGTTTAAGATCTGTCAAAAATAATAAATGCACTATAAAGTCTCTTCTACACCTAAAGGCTTCCACAGTGATTCTGTGGAAAGAGATGATGACTGTCCATTTAGCTACACTCAGACAGCACTTGAGGCAGAGGTGCTGTTAACTGGGTTTCCAGGCAATCCATCACTTTCATCATACCTTATTCCCTGCCTCTTCCTTTCAAGCAGATGGGAAATCCATCAAAATCCAGCCTGTTTTGGACCTTGGGAATGTGTCCTCTAAAGACCTTATTCCATAGTCTTTTCTGACAGGAAAGTTGTTGATGAAAAAGCAACTAGAATTAGCCAACCTGCTCCAAAGTCTTACTGTGCTGCTCCAAGTCCCTGCTCTCTCCTCATCTTCCCCAAAGCTTTAAATCAGTTTAAGATATATCTGGAGTAGTTTTGACACTGTATGTCCTCACACACCCATAGGTTATGATGTGTCACAGTAAAACAATGTCTTTGTCAGAGACATGGACACTCAGTGTCCTACTGAAACACTTTTGACTAGGGGTCTCCCAACTGAAATTATGTGGGAGAAGAGAGACTTGAAGAATGGACTGGACTGGTTTATTTTTCCTTCTGACAACCCATTTATAGATGATCACAATACCTGGGGATCACCTACACTGTCCTTCTGCAAGGCACAGACCACAAAGCATCTCCATTCAGTTCCTGTATGGAGTTTGAGTAACTATTTGAGGGAAACACTGTTGTTTAAGACAGATATTTGCACTTAAAGGCTAAATTATGGTGGCTTCACCCCATTCTTTATGACCTGAGCCCAACTTACCTGCTCTCTATACAACAGAGTTTTTTTTCATTTATTTTTTTATCATATTCTTATGGTCACTAAAATGTGTGGAGCTTCTTCCTGTGGCTCTTTTCTCACCAGGCTTGAGGGAAGTCAAAATGTTTGTGTAACCCAGAGAGAGTTAAATTCCAGGGCTAAAAGCAGTTAATAAATGTTTAACCTTTTGAAATGTCAAGAAATTTTCCCCAAACCACTCATTCTAAGGCTGGAAGCACCACGGTGTCTCAGAGGTGCGGGGACATAGGGATGAGAAAAAGGTGGACAAAAATGGTGTGTTCAGGAAAGACTTTGTGCCTCTCAGCAGCTTTTTCTTGCTTTATTGACAGTTTCTAATCCTACTCATCAGACCAGCGTTGGAAACCCCTAATGGTAACACTGAGCTGCTCCTGGGAAACTCCTGCCTGGACATCAGGCTCCACTGGCTGCTGTTTACTGAACATCAGCACATGGTTTACCAGAGGGGAGCTCAAGACTATGTAATCTGTTTTATTTCCTGTAATGAGATTTTTTTAAAGATATAATTTCTTTCACAAAACTTCCAGTAATGTAAGTCTTCAGATGAAAGGGCAATGATATTTTATTTTCTGTTGCCCTAAAGAATTGATCAGAGGCTTTCTGACTCTCTAAAAGTGTAATTATGACAATTTTTTTGACTTCCCATCCTGAATGGGTGTCAAACCTGCCGGCTGGCATGCTTGCATTGCAAAATCAAACTCCTTATTCTTTTACCTGCTCAGAAATTAGCACATTCATGTAATCTTCACCAAAACTTTCCCAATCTCCTGGTTTTGCACAAGAGAAGGAGCTCTTTAGGCTGCTTCTAATCAGCAGTGAGATTTCAGCCTTTGAAGTCACTGAAGCATGGCAGCTGCATCTTGAAGCCTTGAAAAAGTTTTATTTAAATCCTACAGTGAATCTGTGTGGTTTGGGTATTCTGGGCAGTAATAAAACACATCCTTGTGCACTCATCTACAGTTGGCATTAATGACAGGCTGGGGGAAGAGAGGTTGGAAATCTTTCCATCAGAAAAGGGCCTGGGGGAGCTGGTTGACAGTGGCTGAACAAGAGCCCAAGTGTGCCCAGGTGGGCAAAAGTCCAATGGCCCTGGGCTGTGCCAGACACACTGACCAGCATGACCAGGGCAGTGCCTGTCCCCATGTGCTGGCACAGCTGAGGCCCCACCTCAAATTCTGCATTCAGTCTGGGGTTTCTCACTGCAAGAAAGATATTGAAAGGCTGGAGCATGTCCAGAGAAGGTGATGGAGCTGGGGAAGGGTCTGGAGCCCCAGGAGCAGCTGAGGAAGCTGGGAAGGGGCTCAGCCTGGAGAAAAGGAGGCTCAGGGGGCCCTTGTGGCTCTGCACAGCTCCTGACAGGAGGGGACAGCCGGGGGGTTGGGCTGTGCTCCAGGGAACAGGGACAGGAGGAGAGGGAACGGCCTCCAGCTGGGCCAGGGGAGGTTCAGGGTGGACATCAGGAGGAAATTCTTTTTGGAAAGGGTGGTCAAACCCTGGAAGGGACACAGGGAGGTGGTACAGTCCCCATCCCTCGAGGTGCCCAAGGAAGGACTGGATGTGGCACTCAGTGCTCTGGGCTGGTTGAGAAGGTTAGGGTCATTCACAGGTTGGACTTGATGATCCTAGAGGATTTCCAACCTAAATGATTCTGTGAATCTATGTGTGATTCTGTGTAAGTCAGGCCTGTGTCCAAAACAGTCTTTGGCTACGGTTCATAGCTGAACATACCAGTACAAAAAAGCAAATCACATCGTGGCTGGTGGGCATCCTCTGATAGAGAAGACAGAAGGCTGGACTCAGAAATCAGGAGCTGCAGCTCCTAGAGTGTGTCTGAGTTGAAAGATATAAAGGTTGTGCTAAAAATCATGAGGTTATCATAGAATCATCACACAACTGCAGAATCAGTAAGGTTGAAAAAGCACTCCAAGATCATCAAGTCCATTAACCTAGCACAGCCAGGCCAACCACTAAACCATGTCCCTAAGCACCAGATACACACATCTTTTCAACAGTTCCAGGGATGAGGATTCCATCTGGGCATAGCAAGGATATTAGGCAGCATACTCCTGCGATTTGCCTCTGGTTTCTGAGCCCCCAGACATGTCCCTCTTGCACTTTGAAGATGTGCTCAGCCATGAAAGTAAAATCTTCCACAGCTTAAAAGGAAGGCTAAATATGCCAAAGAAACCACCAAGCCCTGTAGACACATGTAAGGTCTTTAATTCTCCTCTCCCAAAGCTGCCTTGGTTTCTGTCTCTCATGGCAGAGGTACCTCCCAAATCCTACCCATGGAAGAGGAAGAAAACAGCACCTTCTCCTGAGTGTATTCCAGGGAAATGTGGCAACCCTCAAACCCCAAGGCAGCCACTTCCTAGGCAGCATGGTCACAGGCTTGGGATCAATGTCTCTGCCTTGTTGGATCTGAACAGGGAAAGGTGGTTATAAACAGGCAGCGATGATCACAGGAAGGGCCCAGCTCTGCCTGGGATCCAGCTGATGGGACATTCTCAGCAATATGATTACACAGAAATGTCCAGCTGTCCATTGTGTGTCTGTCTCACTGGGTGGCACAGTTCTCTAGGAGGAACACAAGAACATTCCTGTTGGAAGCTTCTCTTCTTGGTGGATGTTTTGCCTGTCTCTGGTTTGTCAGCGTTGCAATCCACAGTTGTCTCTGCTGCCAGACCTTCCTGTGGTTGTCATGGCCTCCCCTCCACTGTGGCACACACAGCTGGAGCTGGAAGATGGGATCACTAATGGGAAGCTCCATTTGTCATTCCTGATATCCTCTGGTAGGTGGAGAGCATGGAGTCACGGACCTGCTCTGTCAGCTTGGCAACATCTTCTGGGCCCAGGCCCAGCGTATCCACTTCTGGCAGGATCTGGATGATCATCTTTCCTGGAAGAAGGTGAGACAGGGAAAAAAGCCTCATGAGTGGTATAGAAGAGCCGGAGGTGGTACAGCAGGAGGGTTCGTGCCAACCAAGGAAATGCTCTCATTCCCACACCAGTGGGGTGGGAGTCCAGCCACATCCTAAATGTACACAGCAAAAACCCAACCTGAGCTTTTCCAGTCCACTGAGAGCACACGAATCATAAATATGGAAAGAGGGGAATCTCTCCTCCAACACAATGCAATATAGGATGAGTTTCATATAGTTTCATACAGGATGTTTTTTCACAGTGGAAAGGTCACAGGGTCTGTCTAGGTCACGGGCAAAGAGAAGATGTTTAATACAACACATCCAAACTGGCGGTGCTCTGTCTATGTATACCAAATGTAGCATGGTCCCCACTTCGAAACACACTTTGGGATGAGAGAAATTGTGGCCAGGTTTCCCTGGTGGGTTAGATTTCTCTGGGGAAGCACCTATGCAATGGACTGGTGTAAACTGGAAGAACATACTGGGGAGCTGCCATCATGCACTTCTGTTCTGGCACCAAGAGTTCCCTATTTTGGGCCAGTGGAGACAAGACAGTGCCTGCACAGATAGGAACCTGGCGATCTGGGGAGAGTCTGTGATGTGTTATAATGTTCTTGCATGACTTAACACGTGTCCCTGGAATGAGATCCAGCAGTGTCGGCGGCAGAGCTGTGGGAAGGAGGCAAAACAAGCATAGAGAAGAACTTCACAAAAGAAAAAGGTCTGTCATGTTGGATGGGGCTTGGAGCAATCTGGTCTAATAGAAGATGTCCTTGCCCATGGTAAAGGGTGGAATGAAATGAGCTTCAAGTCCCTTCCAACCTAAACCCTTCGGTGATTCCATGATACTGTGTTACCTGCCTGCACATCTTACACCCAAAGCCAGGCTGTTACCTCATTTCACTTGTTCCTACTGAAAGAGCAGGGTGATTACAAGGCTGTGCTGAAAATTCAGGTCTCTTGGGAACAGACTTCCAGCAAGCACCGGACACGTTCCATGAGTGACAGTGTCCAACACCAGGCACAGAATTGGGCTTCCGAGAGGCTCCTCAGCACACCCAGAACCACGGCGGACACAGGGAGCTGTCCTGACCCATGGACCTGCTCGGTGTGTAGCAATCTTGACCACCATCTTCAGAATCAGCTCTGGCAAAACTTCTAGATGGGGAAAGTGGGAAAGTACAAGGAAAGCTAACTAGGGTTCTCTCTTCAGCAGTTCAGGTCCTGATGGTTTAACAGCCATTTGGAAAATGGCTCAGAGATCTGCTGAGCATGGAATTAACCATGAATTTTCAGGGTGACTGGAGTTGTATAGAGGCAAATATACATGTAATTGCAAAAAGTCTTTCCTAAATAGCTCAGAGAATTCTTGGAATCTCCATCTTTGGAGTTAATACAACATTTTCTGGACTGGTCACAAAGCTAACTCATCTGTCTTTAGACCAGGCCTTGTTTAAAGCAAAATGTACAGCTTCTTTCAAGATCCCTCCCCAGGAGGTTATTCTCTGATTTCCCAGAGCACAAATGTGAAGGGAAGGGAACAGTCTGGCAGAATCCCTGGTCATGGTCCTATTGATGCTCAAGTGGGGAGACACTTCCAGATCCAAAAGACTTTTGTGTGTGAACAGGGAGAGAATAAACCCAGCAGGCGAAAGATGACTGGAAACAGGCAATTCCATATTTATCATTTGCACCACTTTCTCTTTCCAGGTGTCTGCCTGCAAGGGAATTACTACACCCAGGCACAACAATGGGAGGAATGAGAATTTCAGATGCAGATCCCCTCCTCAGGGAACGCCAGGGCTGGCCTGGGAAAGAGTGGCAAGTGGCAGAACTCCATTTTAAGGTGGAGTCCATTTTAAGTCCACTTAGGTGGCAGCTAAGGGAGAAGAAGCATGATGGATTACTTTTTTTCTATTGGCATTTGTACCATTTTTTCCTGCATTTTCCTTCTGAAGTCCAAGACCTGTGTTATTTTTTCCCCTAAAATTTTATCAGTGGCCAGTAGAAATTTTTGTTACCATAAATGTTTCCTAACTCTCCATGCACCTGTAGATCCAAGGACAGTTGGGAGGGGTGGTTAGGGGCAGAACCTTCCCCAGGACTCTGCTGCTTCTCCAAGTTCACTTGGACAGGTATTTGACAAGCAGTGAGAAATCCAAGGGGAGAGGAAAAAGTGATGCCTGAAATATCCCATTTCTTCCCAAGAAGACAGAAGCGGCTGTTTTCTGGGTGCCATCTGCATACTACATGTGGTCCCCTGTCCACTCCTGTCATGGCTTCAAAGACTGAGCTTGCACCACCACCCAGACCATTCTTTGCCCCAGGTCCTCCTCACCTGGTGTAAATTTCTTCTCCTTCTGGTTGCAGAAGTTGTTGTAGGAAGACAACACTACAGGAATAATGGGGACCTGGAGGGGAGACAGTCTACAGTGAATATGTGCATCTCCTTATCCTTTCTCCAAAATTCAACCAATGTTTTTAGGTGAATTCTGCACCTTGTTGATAATTATCACCATCAGTGTCACAGCAGACACTCAGAGGATTATTTGAATATTTAGATCATTTAACTGCATCACCCCATGTTTTCGCCATTGGATTTTGTATTTTGATCTCTGTTTTTAGGCCAACAAAAATGGATTGTCAAATTACTATCTACAGAGGCCAGCTCAGCAGAAACTTCCCTGTGGAGATCCAGGGCTCTTGTCAAGGTCCCCCCACTTTTATCCCAAGCTGTAAGAAAGGTTTTCTACTTGTCTCTCTGTTTCTGAAACAGACCCCTCCTGTGCCACCTGCAAGCCTCAAGTGCTCCTGAAGATACATGCAATTCATAGGGAAGCCAGGGACTAGTACCCTGGTTTGCTGGTGGACCACAGGAGGCAAATTGCACTCCAGGGGCAGAAGAAAGGTGGGTCTCACCTGTGCTTTCACAGCCAGCTGGAAGGCCCCACGTTTGAAGGGCAACATGGAGCCACCATGGTTGCGAGTTCCTTCAGGGAAGATCAAGACACGCAACTGCAGGAGGGAGAAGACATTAGGGTGGAAGGACCTCCAGGCACAATTCTAAGCCAGTGCAGAGGGATGGTGCCCTTGGGCTCATCTCTGTACCCCTGACCTCCATTCATGGGCACAGAACACAGTGATGCTCTCACTCTGTTCTGCTCAGTGCCCAGCTCACAGACAAAGATCTTTTTCCACCCACATTCAGATTCCTGTTTTCCAGCAGCTCCTCATTGGACTCCTCCCCACTCACGTTGTCCCTGTGCAGGGAGTGTGCCACCTCTGTCAGGGTGCCAATGGACTCTTCCCTCCTCTTGCGGTCGATGAAGATGACCCCTGCGAGCCAGCAGGCCAGGCCGAATGTGCCCATGTACAGGATCTCCTTCTTTGCAACGGGCACGCAGCGCCTTGGCAATATCTCCATCATCACTGCAAGGGGACAGCAAGGGCAGAACAAATCATCATCTGCACTCAGGGTCCCTCTAGATTCTGGGCAACAGCCCTGTGCTCTAGGGGGTGCCATGCCTGAAGCTTCATAGAATCCCTTGGGAATTTTGGGGGTCTCCCGACCTTCCACTCAGGACTGGCACTTAAGAAGAGCAGCATGAGAGGGCTGTGGTCAGCTGAGAGCCTTGTCCCCATTCCCTTGGTGAGGTTGAAGCTGATGTAGCTTGAAAATGCCTCTGATACCCTGGAGACCAGCCCTGGCTTGGGGCTGGCTGGTGAAGGGCTCTGTAGCAGCCACCCCTGCCTTTCTGCCTGCCTGGAGCAGGAGGCAGGATCACCACATACCCATGATGTCAAGGGAGGTCTGGTGATTCAGCACCAGAACAAAAGGTTTCTTGGTCCTGAGGTTCTCCTTGCCCTTCACCACTATCTGAATGCCAAAGATGTATTTGAGTGGTATGGTCAATATGCGCAAAAATCTGGAAAAGAGGAGTGGAGATTAGCCAAAGAGATGTTGAAATTTGGGACCAAAATTTGCATCCAAACCAGCCCACCTCACACTCTGCTTCTGCTGGTTTCCCACTGACACAGCTTTGCCCATGACTTGAAGAACAATTAGTGTCCCTCTGCAGCTAATTATTTAATTACAGAAGACAAATACACCTTGCAGGTTTCCCTCAAGCCATACATGACCAATGACCCAGCAACTACACCTTCAGAAGTTCCACAGATCAACCAAATATTAGATAATATTCAGATTCACAGCACACCTTTGTACTCTGCTTCCCTCCCCACCTTGCTGAGTTGGGAATACGGGCTGCAGTAAACCTGTGCCTGACCCTACTGGCTGTGGAAAAAGAGGGATTTGCATTTAGGTGACATTAGGCTGCAATGCTGGGAGTCCTATTTGAAGAGATATTGCTAAAATAACACAAAAAAAAAAAAATCAGGCAGCAAAGTTAAGAGGTGAACAAAATTTCTCAAAGCAAAAGGCTGATGCTCAGTTAGGAGATATGAATTCCCACTAAAGCATGAAATGGAATAGTAAATCCTGCTTCTGCAGCACTTCAGGAGGGTTCAGGCAGTGTGGTGCCATGTAGCAGAGTCATCTTTTCATCCCGCTCAGCCCAGGTTCCTGATTGCCACTACTGATCACTCCTGAACAGCCCATGCAGCCTCCAGGTGAGACCACATCTTGGAGAGTCTGCATAAAATCTGGAGAGACAGGATGGGCAGCTATGGGATGGGCAGGGGGACTGCCAGACCTGGGACACCAGGCTGTCACTGAGCTGATGGGAACCAGTGCCCATGCAGGGGCCAGCACTGCACCATGGTGATGTCTCAGGTGTGCACTGGCTCAGAGTAGAGAATGGGAAGAGCCTGGAGTGGCTTTCTCAACACAAGTTAGTAATAGAGTGCTCAGCCATGGGGAAGAGGGAAATACAGCTCCAAACATCAGATGAAAGAGCTCTAGTAAAAATAGCAATATGTATTTCTTCCAGGTTTTTTGCATTACCTTCTTTAGAACCTTTTACATCCTTTCTTTCCATAATTTGTTATTCTTTTTATCAACCCCGAGCTACTATTAAAACCCACACCCCTTCTCTGAATTACAGAGTCTATCATCTCCCCAGATCAATATAAAACCGATCCCTCCCCACCACAGCACACCCCCAGGGCCCTCCAAATCAAAGCACTGGAGTGGGCTCTATCAATGCTCAGGGCAGAAGGGAGCCACAGACAACTTACATCATGTTGTCCACGTTACGTCCACGAGGAATACTGAGGATGGCAACCCCAATGCTTATGGTGAAGAGCCACAACTTATAGAAGGTCATCTTGCAGAAGAATCTGAATGCAGGTTTCACCTGATAGAGGACTAGAAAGGCAATGAGCAGACAGGTAAAGGGGTAGTGAAGGAGGAAAAGCTCCATCCTTCCAGCCCAGAGTGTGTTGAGCAGAGCAGTGAACGAGTCACAAGCAGCTGGTGATGTAGAGCAGAGGTGAGACTCCCTCCATCAGCTATGCGTGGGTGGTGCAAAGCTGGAATGAGGTTTGGGAGTGAGGCTTCAGACAGGCTGTGCTCCCTGCTGGGAGCTGTGCTCACTGTGGGAAGCCAGTTTAGCAAGTGCACTGCAAGAGCTTCAGGAGGGCTGGATGGCAACAGGGCAAACACAGCACCGTATGTGTGTAGGGGCTGTGGGGCTGGCAGTGCTTGGAGAGCCCATTCAGGGGGCTCTGGGAAGAGGAACCCTGAGGAATTTTAAGACAATCTTTAGTGGGGAAGAGCAGGCTGCATTGGACAGCACAAACCCTGCCCAGAGAAGCTGTGGCTGCCTTATCTCTGGAAGTGTCCAGTACCAGGTTGGGCCGTGGAGCAACCTGGGATAGTGGAAGATGTCCCTGCCCATCTGGCAGGGGTGGAACTGGATGATATTTAAGTCCATTCCAGCCCAAACCATTCCCTGATACCATGATTCTAAGACCCCAGGCTGTCTCACTTTGTGCAAACATTGATCTTCACCAAGTGAGCTAGCTGCAAGATGTCCAGGAAATCAGAAATCAGTATTTTGAGGGGAGAAAGAGAAAAACAGTGATCTGATCAGTCAGACCCTGCGCTACACATCCAGGTACTGGAGGGACCAAGCTGAGCAGCTGGACGTTCTGCATGCACAGTGGGAAAAGTGGGAAAAGTGCCACAAGTCTAGACAAAAAGATAAAGCAAGAACAGTGACTCCCAATGTTTTTCTGGCAAGAGGCAGGTGCATGTTCAGACAGCATCTGCATAAGCAAGGAGTAAATCAGGAAAATGCAGGTATAACCTGGAACTGCTCCAACTGCATTTCATCTCCTAAAACAACTGCGTGAAAAGGAACTTGCAGCAGCCAGAATAACTGGGCTGAAAAACAAATGTTTCATGATTCATCATCTGCCCACCAGGCCTTGCTGTAGCAGCTGGCACTTCAAAAGAGCAATGACTCTCAATTCCAGCCAGGTCTGAGAGCTGCAGATTATCAAAAGGGAATAGCCCAAGGACCCATAAAACCACAATGATCATCATCTAAAACCTAAAGACCAAAGTCAAATCCTTAAGAACAGTAAAATGGGCAAGACTCAATGATACCTCCTGAAGAAACTGAGGAAAGACATAATTATATAGAATGGCATTGCTTGTTCTCCCTGGTCCTCTGGCTTAGCCACAAACCCTTCTCCTGATTTTCATTGGAAAACTGAAGAGATGTGACTGCAGCCTCACCTCTCAGCTCTCCCAAGGCTTCTCTGCAACCACAGGAGAGGCAATTAAAGCAAAGAGCTTCTCCACAGTATCTGAACTGTCCCTGCACCAGCACATGGACACTACAAGAGCCCCATGTGTGCACACTGGGACCCTCTGAACTGGTGCTTGTAGAGACCAGGTCCCTGGGGAGCCAGTGCTTAGAGAAAAACCATGGCTTCATTCTGCTTCTCCAGGATTTGATCCAGCAAACAGCTCCTTTTCTATGTCTGCCAACCTTTCCTCTACCTCATCTGTACAAAATTGTGGCCTTTTGCAACTGGGAGAAGGTTAATTTGATTCACAACTGGTTCATCCTGACGTACCAGAAAGAGGTTCCTAAAATGTAATGCCAGTGAAAGGAGTGGAATGGCTGTCCTGCACTAATAGCAGTGGTTTCCAAACCAGGGTGCTGTTGTGAGTCTCCTGCTGTAGAAGAAACCTTTGACACAACTCTGCACATAGAAACCCACCCAGAATATCCGGTACAAGGAAGTCTGCAGGTTCCCAAGTGTCGCGGTGAGGACTATGTCCTGGCTAGGTGACAGTGGGGTGTGACACACCCCCTTGCAAGCTCCGCTGAAGCCCAGCCACCAGCGGTGGTTCGGCACAGGAACAAAGGCAGCAGCACGGGCCTTGGGGTGAAATGGGGGTGGCTTTATTTCATGATTAGCACCCAAGACCAAGACTTGGGGCTAGCAAGAGCTTTGATACCTCACTCGGGAGGAGGGGTTTAGGGTAGCAAACCAATAGGGGTATGGTTTGTGGGGGGTTGAAGGCGGGGTATTTTTCACTAGAACCAATAAAGGAGCACTAGGGAGACAAATAACTTGGATAAACTAATAGGGTTCCAAAGGACACAAAATAGACAGGGGATTCTCCAGAAGAGAGGGCAGGTTGAGGGGACAATTTACATCCAGTAGGAGTGGGGAGCAAGGGGGATTCGGGGGAAAAAGGGCAGGAATGGGAGGGATTAACAACTGGGAAGGTGGGGGCTTAAAACTTGGGAGTGGCATAAGGGGATTGCAAAATCACAAATCGAACAGTAAGCATTACCTATAAAACTAAGAAAACACACTGCAACACCCAACAGCTCACAAACCACTGAAAAGGATTCTTTTAAGTCACTGTCAGCAATTTTCAATGACTTCACAGAAACATTGAGGTTGGAAAATACCTCCAGGATCATTGAGTCCAACCTGTGACTGGTCCCCCTACCTTGTCACCAGCCCAGGGCACTGAGTGCCATGTCCAGTCCTTCTTTGGACACCTCCAGGTGATGGGGACTCCACCACTGTCCTGGGCAGCCCCTTCCAGTGTCTGACAACTCTTTCCAAGAAGAAATTCCTCCTGATGTCCAACCTGAACCTCCCCTGGTGTAAGTTGAGGCCATTCCCTCTCCTCCTGTCCCTGTTCCCTGGGATCAGAGCCCACATTCCCCCTGGCTGCCCCCTTCTGTCAGGGAGTTGTGCAGAGTAAGGAGGTCTTTGATTCCAACAGCTGATTAGTGTCTCTGATGAATATGGAGAAAGCCAAGGACATTCCCAATTCACCATGGACAGACAGGCAGCTCAGATCTAGCGCAACATTCAGGCTCCAAACCCACAGATACCAAAGTCCACAGCTGTAATTTTCTCCTGTTGCAAGGATCCCCAGCACCTGGATCCATCCTGCTCCCATTTCAGAAGCAGTTGGCTCTTGCCTAACCTGCAAGGTGTTTTCAGAAAATCCAGCTCTAATAAAGATCCTAGTCTCCAGACCAAGTGTGTCCATGCCCAGTTGACTCCCTTCTGCCCCTGGGTCTTTGCACCTTTTCCAGGACCTGAATCAATTTAAGTGAGTCTGAGATAGGGAGACAAGGGACTTGGTCACACCATGAGCTTTTGTCACCAAGTTTTACTTACTCCCCCACTCCCCAGATCTGCTCAGCCATATATTGGCCAGAAGAGAGAGAGGGGAGGCAGGGAAAGTGATCCTTTGAGAAAATGTGGTGGGAAAAGGCCAAGAAAATTGTCTTATTCACCACATGAAGGCTCAGAAGAGGATGGACTGTTGTCAGCACAGCAATGTGTGAGAGAGGTGTTGGTGAAGCTGAAGATCACAACTGACTTCCAAATGCAAAGCAATGGTTCCAACACAAAATATGAGACTGGATTTTGAAATGGGAGTGATTCCCACTGAAAATTGCTGGCATAAATATCCACTCTGAAATGGATTGGAACAAGCAGAGGGACAGACACCAATCTCTTCTCTCTGGCAATCAGGAACAGGACCCAAAGGAACAACTGGAGCTGTGTTGGGGTGTTTGGTTGGATATCAGGAAAGGTTCTTCCCCCAGAGGGTGCTGGGGCACTGAACAGGCTCCTCAGGAAATGGACATGGCCCCAAGGCTGCCAGAGTTCCCGGAGTGTTTGGGCAATGCTCTCAGGCACAGGGTGGGATTGCTGGGGAGTCTCTGCAGGGCCAGAAGTTGGACTTTCCAACTCAGGATATTCCATGTTTCTATGATAAGTTATCAAAGGGCAGTGCTGGGTCTGGCCAAGGACAGCATCAGTCACCAGCCTCCAAAATGTGAACAGGTCAAAAGGGAGTTTATCCCTTATTCTCACTTAAAGGCATTAACATTGATATTAAAACTTTCAGAGGGATTCCAGAATAAATATACTAGACAAAGGTCATCTAGACTGAGGAAACTGTTTATGATGCTCTGGCTGCAGCTCCATGATGAATCTATATAACCCTCAGTTTTACAAGGCACAGATTCACTTCAGAGACCAATTTATGAGCTAAGGCATGGCTGGAAGTGCTTGTAATGACAAGAGAAGAGTTTTTACAAGAAAAGGTGTTCTGGCTCATCAAGATTCTGTGGTATCAAGACAGGCCTGACAGAAAAGAATGCAACAGCATGGAACAGCCTGAGCTGCAAGACTTGCATACATGGGATAGCTTAGAGCCCAGCCAGATGAACTCTGGCTAGGAAGTACAACAGTTTATCACTGTAAATCACAGGAAAATTGAAGTGGAGAAGGACACCAGGAGGTTTGATCAACCAGCTGCTCACAGCAGGGTTAACTGAAAATCCAGAGAGCTTGCTCTAGGCCTAGACAGTTTGGAAGAATACCCAAGATTTCTCTCATCCCTGTGTCTGCATCACAGCACTATCACAGGGAATAATGTTTGTCTTTGTCTAAAGGTTACTTCCTTTGTTGTAACCTGCATCTGTTACCTCTGGTCATTTCCCTGTGAGCCTCTGGGAACTGTCCACCTTCACAGCTACTCCTCAGAGAGACACAAATGGCTCCCACTCTCATTCTCCAGACGGAGCAGATACAGCTTTCTCAGCCTGTCTCTGCACCCCATGTGCTGCAGCCCACTGACCACCTTGGTGGGCATCCACTGAGGAAAAATGTAGCTGACACCGGGAGAAGAACCTGACAGGATGAACTTGGGACGGACATCCAGGTCTGACTGAAACGGCTGGGGGAGGCTGCTGGTGGGAAAGAAAGGGAATGAGGCCTCAACAGAGCTGGGAGAGAGAGCTACCCTTCTGAAACCAGCAGCAGAGGCTGATCAGAGCAAACCATCCCATCCTAGCTGCTGCAGGAGGCAGCCCCCACTTCAGGAGCTCCACTGGCCAAGGCAGGCACACACCAAGCACCCTGTGGACAGTCCCCATGTTGCTGTACCAACATTGTATATGTTTGATCAAGTTGATAAAGTAAGTCAAATTATCCAAATTTCAGCT